CATCGTGGTTTGTTCGAGGAGACTGCTATCTCATCGATAACCTTCCATCGGGAAGTCTCCGTCCTCAAAAATGTCTAGAAGCCCGAATCGAGTCAAATTGACTAAGTCAATACCGAACACGGTAAGTTTCTTGCAGGCAACTGCGGCCATCTCCCCCTTCAAGGGTGACCCATGACTGTCATAATTTAGGGAACTATGTCATGGCGTGACATAGTTCCCTGAATTATCGGAATTGGCCATTAGAAAGATGAAGAGGAAGCTGATAAAATGAAGACAGAAAACTCAACAATCCGGATACACAGAGAAACAGTTCATCGGTCCGAGTTTAATGTCATTAAGCTTTCGAACGGTTCGAATCGAACCCATGAAATGTCTTCAACATAGGTCTCACCAGAGAACAAGCAGGCAGCTAGATCTATATCTGAGGCATCACAATATGAAGACCATTGAGAAGCTGAATCTACGTCAAAATCTCCTACAGCAGGATCCCCTCGTTCTTCAATATGTTTATATAATTGAGCGCACTTAACTAATATCGTATCTGATAGCTCTGTCTCCGAGCGAGCACGAGGATTATCTAAATACGCCAACCTCTCCACTTCTCGTCACGAGAAGTGGACGATGTACGGGCACTGTACATCAGCAAATGTACCCAGCACTGCTGTACGGGTGGCTGAAATATTTCATAGTGAAATATTTCAAGAATGTTTCAGTGAAATATTTCAAATATTTCACGAAAAGAAATTTCAGTGAAATATTTCACTTTTGACGGTTTTCTTGCTTTTTTGAGAGGTTTACGTCAATAACTAATGCTTGAGGGCTCTCATCATGAATCACGGGTGTAGTTTGCCCTATCCCGGTTGAAGTAGGAATTGTTCCCTACTAGCAAATACTCCAGTCGTACCAACGGAATTGATATTTCTATCCGATAGGAGTCCTATCATAGGACCTATTGCGCGGTCCTGCAGCCTGATTGTACTACTAAGGCGTATCTTCTGGGGGTGATATAGTCAACCAACCCGCAGGTATTGATCTCATCATAAGATTCTTATGAAGAACAAAATAGCCTGCAAAGCCAGACAAAGTGTGCAAACTTTCGGTTATGGAATACTGAAATTCAATGTAATGGAGTTTCAACGATCTTCGTCTCCATTGTCGACAGCGCCCTCCTTCTCGAGAAGTCGGCGGGTGCTCCATCTCACGATAGGCATGAGATGGATTTGTATCGTACTACATTTGAATCAAATGATTTGGTCACAAGAGCTCATCCCAAACACCAACTCCAGTTCATCATTGAAAAGCTCGAATTTTGAGCTTCGAAATGGGAATAACAGAAGTTGTGCGTAATTTTTCCCAAAATCAAGTCAAACACAAAGTGAGAAAAATGCTTTAGAACTTCTGAAGTTCAACTTCATTAACCGGGGATGGTGCATTCACGGGGTTTGTGGCACGCGATTATCTACTTCGGCGAAGAATATGATGTACTTATCCGCATTTCCGCGAGTTAGGGACGGGATAAGGCAAACTGATTGGGCCTCACCGCAATCTCAAATAAGTCTTTGAGGACGTGGGTTAGTGGAACGAACTGACGCCCTTGCTAACCCTGATCAACAAAACTAACTAGATCATACATGTTCCCAAATTGAGGGCGAGTCCGAGAGGCTCTGTGCCGAGTATGCCTATCTATATAGCGCACGCCATGAAACGGCTGCTAGTCGGCACTATTGATTGAATTAATACAGACTTTCCCAATTTCAAGGGTTTGAGTTCAACTATGCCTTCCGAGGAAGAGGACAATCATCCGAGAAGTCAACAGAGGAACAACGGTGCCGAGCTAGAAGCCCTGCCACCTGGTGAAGACCGGCGTGCGTCTCGCAGGCTTGCTGGCCAACTGCCGCTTCCGCCACCCTCGAGGCTTCCACGAGAACTCAGATCATACGGACATCGCTCTCCTCGACGAGAACAGCCTACACCTTCACACAATGTACAGCGACATTCGGAACATGAAAGGCCTATACATTCCTGCGAAGGTCATCTACCTCCCCACGAAGAGAGTTCTACATTCTCACATACTGGTCATCTAGAGCCTCAAGAAGAAGGTTCTACATTCTCACATACTGAACATCTACCTCTTCAACAAGAACGCTCTATCTTCTCTCATACCGGTCACCTACTTTCTCAACAACAAGGTTCTATATACCATCACCACCGTCGCCTACCTCCACTACACGAAGGCCTCATGCCCTCATACTCCGTTCTCATGACACCTTCGACGACGTCACTGATGACATCGTCTACAAGTTCTTCAAGTTTCGCGGTCCAGTGATGGGTATTGCCGGCTCCCCAGCCATACTACAACTATCCGGTAGCATCATGGTTGCCGAAGCCAATGAGAGGACAGCTGCACGCTTGAATGGCGCGAACGGTGATCCGATGGCACACCCTATCAGACTAGCTCTCGACGGACCATGTCCAGCAACAGCTGAAGAGCTCTACGGTCTACATCCCCATCAACTATACCAGCAGAGACCAAGTACCGAGTAAAGTTTACTCAGTAAACTGACCGGTTCTCAGATGAGAGTGAAACATGGAGGCATACTATTATGAACGATTCTCTTTCTGTTGACGTATAGCATTAGATCAGGAGCGGAGTTATAGATATACTCCCCGAGTAAAAGTTGGTATTTTGAGGTGCAATTTTAACACGTGTATGCTAAGAATATGTGGAGAAAACGTTTTACCGGTCCTCGACTTCTCACTAACTACGAAGAGTTAGGCCCTGAAACTTAGAGGTCATATCAGGTAAAGCATAAGTACATACCTCCCTGAGCCGCGAGATAATACTCGTTGTGGTGGCTGCGCACGAGTCGAAAAACCGGATATGCTAAGAATATGTGGAGGGGTGTATCAGTCAAGAACGGTTCTTGAAGAACCTAGGTGTCCAATGGGGCCGCTATGCCAGACCATTCGAAGTTGATACGCACGAGAACTTGAAGATTGGTATTGACACATCCTCACGCGCGTTACTCACAGTGAACTCCGAATGCGCTTCTCACCGAAACTCGCCAAGATATAGCTCAAGAATACAGTGGGCATTTTGAAGACTCGTTGTTGCATACGACGCCTAATTGGCTCACGGTCATGCCCTTGGATTGCGATACGTTCGAAGATCAATAGAGTAACACTGCGAAGATACATGTGAAAGAGGCTAAGCCTCTGAGGCTTTGTGTTATACGCATTGAACCATTTTTGATAGCTCCATGTACCAGAAAGCAATTGTTCAACAAGAGTGATGCGACGAAAACTCCAACAGGACGAGAATCATTTCCCGCAGCTAGTCTATAGTTGAGAATAGTGGGTGGTGATCCGCCTGGCCCATATGCCAGGCTGAATCTGAACTCTCGGTCAACATGTTCCAAGATCTTCTTAGAAAGTTTTTGATATTTGACATGCTATATTTTTCATCCATTCTAACACTTCGGCGAAGTGTTAGACTAGACTATGCGAAGTGACTTCGCATAGTCTATAATCTCGAAACAGATGAGAGGACTCCACCATTGCCGTTCGAGTGTGATCAGTACTGCGATTTCTACGAGTCCGGCTCCTACTGCTAGCATTGGCAAACTCCTCTTGTCTGCTTCAGAAGTAATATACCTTGTTACTGTAGTGATTTACCGACCAGCCAGAGACCGGTCGAAACTACCACTAAGTTTGCGACCCCCCAGGAGCCAATGACCACTATAAAGCCCGCGATTACCACTGAACCCGTGATCACTGTCGAAGCTGTGTCTACCATCGATTACGTGTCAAGTACTGACTCGAAGACTACCTCTAATACTATAAGCAGTACTCTGGCCGATACCACCGTCGAGACTAAAGCTAGAGGATGTGATCAATACTGTGAAAGCATTGCTCCTGACAGATTTTTGTATGACTTATAAGTTGCCCAACGTCTGTTCGGCAACTGATGTGCCATGCAACTGTGACCTCTAATCTTCTCTCTTTCCAATAGTCCACATGCCTCAGACGACATGCCTTTGTTTATCTTCCTATCTGTTCTCTGATCAATTTCAATCTTATGTTTATATCATCAGACATTCAATGTGTATATTCTGATGCTTATTATTGGCACCTAATCAATA